AGACTCGCTTGAGCCCAGGAGTTGGAGGTTGTTGTGAGCTGTGATACCACAGCACTCTACCCAGGGGGACAGCTTGAGGCTCTGTCTCAAAAAAATAAATAAATAAATAAACAAATGAAAACTGAAAAGTCGAAGAGAATTAAAGGATTAATAAGTAGTCTGACGTCTACAAAGTAAAACAAAACATAGAAAGACAAGTTATCCAAGAAATAACAAGAGGATTTCTAGAACTGAAGGACATGTGTTTCCAGACTGAAAGGGCTCACAGAATTAACTGCCCAATGAAAAAAGAAAAACTTAACCAAGGCACATTAACATGAAATTTCAGAACTATTACATAAACAGGAGACCCTACAAGTATCTGAGAAAGATCACACATAAAGAATCAAGAATCAGAATGGTACTAGATTTCTCATCAGCCAACACTGACATCTAGAAAACAGTAAGTTACTGCCTTTCAAATTTTGAGGAGAAATGATTTCCAATTTTAAATGCAATGTCCAGATTAATTATTAGTCACGTGGGAAGAGAGAATAAAGGTATTTTCATATATGCAAAATTTAAAAATATTTTCCTCTCACATCTTTTTTTCAGGAAGTCATTAGACTAAATAGTTACACTAAAATGAGACAATAAGCCACGGGTAGAAAGACATGGGATGCGCAAAACAGAAATTCTACAACAGGAGAGGCAAAGGAATTTCCAGAGTGATGCTAAATCAAAGTCCAAAGTGCCAGCTGAGAGCAGGCTAGGAGACAGTAAGCCCAACGGGAACAGAAAGATGAAAGGTTCCGCAGAAGCTACCACCAAAATATAAAGGGGGCAGAGGGAGGGTGGAGAGGAAGGAAACGGAAAATCCTAGATTACCTCGTGTGTTTGAATATGTAGAGAGATGCGGCATATCTTTGTCAGGGACTTGTTTGTGGTAATTGGAAAATAAGCAAATGAAAAAATAGCAATTAATTCAAGGGAAAACGAAACATAAAAGGAAGGAAACGCAATCATGGCATTATAGGGAGCATATACAGAACCAGGAATTATTGAACAAATATTTTAAAAGCCAAAATAATGTCAATATATTTATTAAACCCCAAACTGTGACAGAATAATGTTAGGGGGCTGTACAGAAGCAAAGTGGGCACGTGTCTGGGTATTTGTGTGGGAGGACTCGTGTCATGTTTATATTCCCTAATAGATAATGTCTAAATTTAAGAAGGAAGAAAGAACATCATATAAAAATATAGGGGTAAGTAATATTAAAACAATTAAGATTTAAGAATCAAAAACAAGATTTAGGACTGAAGCAAACTAGGGCTGTCAAAAAACAGTTTAAGTTGCATAATATTTTGTTACATCAATCTTTGTACACTTATTGTTTTGATAAAAATAACAGATTAGAAAAACAAAATATTAGGATCATTTTTACCTGGCCAAGCTCTTCATTCAGATCAGAAGTATTGACTTGAGCTTTCTGATCTGATTCTTCATGATATAGATCAAGATCCCAGCCAATAAAAAATGATCCAAGAAATTTCTGCATTTCAACTGTCACATACAACGAAATTGGAATGATGAAATTGTAGAGTACCAAAAAAGCAAGGAAGTCTGAAATAAATCTCAGAATCTAGGAATAAAGAAATAATAATTTAATAAAAGAAAATACATGAGAATTTCTTCAGTCTCACTAAGGAAATTTTTCACAAAGTTTCACGCCTAAATAGATCATCAACTATATTTTCAGACAGGATAATTTCATAAATTGAAATTCATTTATTGAATTATCTTTGTAACACTACATTTCCTGTGGATAATTTTACTGCTCATTAGAATCTTCATCTAAGTAAAAGAAAAAATGGGTAAATTCAAATTGGTTAATTTGTTACTTTTCAGAAGCTAATAAAAAGCCTGGTGTGACAGAAACTACTATTAGCAAAATTATAATCTCTGGAGCATACTCATCCATTCTACTTCTATCCTTCAAAATAACAAACTAAAAATTGAGTGCAACAAAAAATTATGAAATAATTGCTAGGTTGTAAGTGCTAGAAATTAACTCTTTATAAATACAGAATATATAGAAGAGCCTCCTTCAATGGGTTAGCAAGACTGCATTCATCATGCATTCTAGGAAAGATAAAATAATTGTGAATAATATTGAAAATACGACTCTCTGATTACCTGCTTTGTGGTTTCTTTTTTTTTTTGAGACAAAGTCACTAAGTTGCCCCCTTGATAGAATGCCGTGGCATTACAGCTCACAGCAACCTCAAACTCTTGGGCTTAAACAATTCTCTTACCTCAAGCCTCCCAAGTAGTTAGGACTAAAGGTGCCTGCCACAATGCCCCATTATTTATTTATTTATTTATTTATTTATTTGGTTGTAGTTGTCATTGCTGTTTTTGGCAGGCCCAGGAGGGGTTCGAACCCACCAGTCCTGGTGTATGTAGCTGACACCCTAGCCACTGAGCTATGAGTGATGAGCCTGCTTTGTGGTTTCTTGAGATCCAAATTTGTCCTCTCTTATGTACACTGTAATTGAAAGTGAAATTTGGAGAACAATTATTTACCAAAATTGTAGGTTAAATTCTCTTGGTAGTCCATATTTAATCAGTTCAAAACACTAGATGATATAATTTGTATACTACTACCTTCATATCATCAAGACTGATAATAAGACCTGTTAAAATATTCAGAAAAAAATCAAAAATAAGTCAACTTACTCTTTAATTCATTTATGATTAAGATACAGTAAATGGATTAGAAAAGTGAATTTGTAGCATTGACATGGAATCCAATTACGGACACAATTAAAATTTTGTGATCTGTTTGAACTCTTCAAGTCATGCCACAGGGAGTACAACTGCTTACTCCCTAAACTGTAAAAAAAAATACCAGGATAGGCTTGGCGCCTATAGCTCAGTAGCTAGGGTGCCAGCAACATACACCGGAGCTGGTGGGTTGGAATCCAGCCAGGGCCTGCCAAACAACAATGGCAACAACAACAACAAAAATAGCTGGGCGTTGTGGCAGGTGCCTGTAGTCCCAGCTACTTGGGAGGCTAAGACAAGAGAATTGCTTAAAGCCAAGAGTTTGAGGT